CCTCTGATCTCGAAACCTGATGGGGTTCAATGATGACGTCGTCCTGCACTATTTAAGACCGGAAATGAAACCATCAGTCAGTCATTGTCGTAACACTATCTTTTTAAATAATGTATCTGAACGAATGATCACGTGGTTGTGGTGTTTTAAAATCGCATTCTCTTAAATACTTTTCATGTTTTTAAATGTCCCCCACACTGCAATGATCATCGCTGATCAATATTCTTTAGGACCGAAATATTCTACCATGTCCTGAAATGATCTTTGACAAAGCACCACATATTGCCAGTGAGCTTCTGCATCCAGTAATAATGAGAGGGACTACTTAGAGCTAGTAGCACACGTACAAAGGAGACATTGGAAGGTATGAGAGGCCAATTTGGCGTGGAGACTAATAAACAACGTAAGTAACACGACCCTTGCTTCTCTATCTACGTCTGCAGCACCTATCGAGTGTGACCCTCGCAGCTGGCTTCCACGGGACAAAGCTCACAAAACATCGGTGCGTTTCACACAGCTCACTTTGTGTTTTGATTCTCTAGCATCGTGGATATGTATAAGATTAGGCGAGACTTGCTGCTGTTTTGAAGGATTCTTGATATATATGGTAACCACTGGTGGGAAAAGGTGTCTTTATTTTTATCCGCTGCTGTTTGTCATGTTCAAAAGCATGTATTAGCTGAGAATAGAGGGCACTATAATAATAATAAAATAATCTGTTTCTTTCCCCGTTTAAAGGTGTATGTGCCGGTGTATATTTATATTTGTAGCAATATTGAATTAATATCTCCATTGACTTGACAAATAAATAAATGATGCTAAAAATCCTCCGGCCACTGGAGGTTCAGTGGATTCTGTCGGTACGTTTTTTCCAAATGTACGCTCTGTGCATGAGCCTGGCAAGCAGGTATATGCATCCGAGCACATCGCTGCAGTTTTCTTTTTCGCTGATGGTAACTTATACATATGGATGGTCTTGATTAGGTGACTGATGTAAATGATAACATTGTTCAAGAGGAACTGGAGAGCGGAAATTTGGCATCGAATATAGTCGAGTGAATCGAGTCTATGCCAAAGAGAGGACATTTATGGCGCAGCGGCTAAACACACCGCGCTATGAACACTGCAATTGGAGTTAAATTCTCAGCCATGGCTAACATCAGTGGGGAGCGACACCTGGATCAGTGCTGCTCCCGCACCCGGCACCAATCTTCACCGACCAGAGTGATGAAGTATGGTTAAACAATTTCCAATCGGCAGTGGATGACAAAGGGATGTAAATAATGTGTTTATTTATGGTCATAACTATAAAAATAAAATCTCAATCTTAAAATTTGTACCCTAAATAATTATGGCTTGGAGATTCATAGATTTTACTCATAGCGTAGGATCTTGCGTGAAGTTCTCAATACAGTGATCCCTCGTTTATTGCGGTTAGTGGGGACCGGAACCCCTCGCGACAGGTGAAAATCCGCGAAGTAGGATTGGCCCCCTAGGAATTTCCGTATATGTGTGTGTGGGTACCAGGATGTTTAAAATATGTATATTTATACTTTATATATATTTTACTTTAATCTATTTAATTATAAAACCTTAATATTATACATTCACTCTCTCTCTCTCATACGATACGTATTATGGTGTTCTACACTCACCAATGACAGTAGTATCTTGAGACTTGACTCCAGTAATGACGACGACGATGACAATGACGATGACAATGACGACGATGACAGACCTGTGCAGTTCGATGAATGTGATGATGAATGATGATGATGATGGTGTTACTGCACAGGTATAATGAGGCCTTTAAATCAGTTCGAAAAAATCCGCGATGCACTGAGGCCGCGAAACTTGAACCGCGAAGTGCCGAGGGATCACTGTAAATTTAAATCTCACGGTAAATACATATAAAGCAGTCAATGATTTAAAAATATGTGAGCCCGAATATCAGTGAACCTAGTAATTGACCTCGTGTGGAGTGTGACACCAAAGCCAGTAGAAAAGACGCAGAATCGGTTTTTGGTCAATCCTAACTCGTGTCACTGCTGGTGGAAAGGTCTCCACCCGAGTGAGCTCTAGAAAGCCCCTCTTAAGTGGATAATTTAAAATTAGCCGAATAAATGTCATTTGTCCACCACACAACTCCATGCCTGTGGTCCGATCAATGCTCCAGATAATCCGCATGCCTGGGTGTTTTATGAGTTAAAAATATGAATTATTTGTGGAATGCACATTAAATGTATTTGTAATGTTCATGGCAATTTTACTGCATGCATGGTGAAGGAGAAGTCACGTGATCATCGGGGCCCATGAACGGGATGTACAGAAGTGTGTATCGCTAAAGCAGTTTCCGTTACGTTGGGAATAAAATAATAATAATTACGGTTTTTGAAATGTATTCATTGGAAAACTTACCTGAGTATGTAATATCAAAGTAACGTACAATAGTTTAAGGTAACATTGCAGTTAAAATGTAAGGCTGTATGTAATTCATGCATCAGTTAGCAGTTAAATACAGTATTTATAAAAATTACTTGTGAGTACAAGGTTATATGTTGCATTTGACCCCCGGTGCATACATTCTACTCATGGTGTCAACACTGGCGGGTGAATTACTCAAGAGACTACAAAACCTCATCTGGAGCACTGCATCCGAGCCCTTAATTTCGAAGCTGTCACCTACACTAGGCTTGCTGTGCAACCACACTCAATGATACAATTATACACACGGTCATTTTTAACACCACTACGATCCTACTAAATGCACGTAACAGTCGGGGAATGGAAATCCCCATTGCTTGAGCAGGCCTGGTTTTTTGATGGGCAATGGAAACCGCTTTGGAAGAGAAGAGAGACGAGAGATACGTCTGAATGAAAGGACAAATCTATTTTAGATGGAAGTGCTTTTTGTAAGAATGCATCAGTTGGACATCTGGATCCTAAGCAACTCGAAAATGAGTTGTTGGCATTTGAATACAGGTGCCTCAGATGGATGTGAGGAATTTATTTGTGGCAAGGCAGGCTTAGCAATTCAAAAGTCCAGCAGAGAACATTGTTGGTAATTGTTGGAGATATGAATATGAAAAAAACTGTTGCACGGGGTAAGACATGTGTGCAGAAAGGGGGAGGGCCGATTGCAGAGACAGCCATTGAAGGGGTCTCCATGAGCCCTGTGGCCAATGGGAAGACCAAAGGCCAGATAGTGGGATACCGTTTGGGCAGATGTTGGAGGTTGTGCGTCTACTGTGCGGCAGTTGCGGGATCTGGCAGAGGGTAGAGAGTGTTGATAAAGTGTGGTCACATCAACACCTTTTGGCCATATGGTGACATCTTGATCCTTAAATGGAGATCAGCGATGAAATGGAAGGCGTCTCTGGAGCTCCTGGGACACGCTTTTTAAAGACTCACGTTTTCAACGTTAAAGAAATCTTCGTCTGAGGTTGATTGCAGTCATATTCTTAATTCCTTTCCTACTGTTTCGTTTTCTCGTCTTTTTTCCTGTTTTTATTTTCTCTGACCTATTCCCTGCTACATAATTGTATGTTTTTGTTTATGCGAACAACATTTTTCATGCAATTTAAAAACGTGATAGCAAAAAAAAACATGTGTTTGACCTACATGTTATTTTTGCCACCGAATGTGCTTGACGTGAGGCGTTAAATGCTCTTCGTGAGAAGCTGGATGCAGAAAAAGCCACAACCATTAGTGTGCTTGTACCAACAGTTTCTATTTGCCTTCTCCCTACAAGTGTTATGTAAGAATGTGTTATTTGGTATAGCCCTGTGAGCCATTCGGCTCTTGAATCGGGTGCAACCACAACAAATAAAAAACAAAAACATGAACAAGAAAACATCTTAAAGTGACTATGTGACTATGCGCAAACAGAAAAATCCAGGAAAAAACTGCAAAGTCTTCCAGAAAAAAAACACCGTACACCAACGCTGTGCAAAAATCCCAGTGGGATGCAAGTCAGACAACAACAAAAACAACCACAAGACAACTTAGATTAAAGCCATCATTCTAACTCCGTACTACAACAAACAAACATGGCCAAACCAAAAAACTTTTCGAAATCATCAAAATAAAGCCATAAGCAATGTAACAGTGATCATAGGAACTGTGACCGAAATTTCACAATAAACGACATAAACAACATGTACCACCAAACCCTGTAGCCATAGCTTAAATCAGTGTTGTGCTTTTAAAAGGTGTGCTTCTATCCAGAAATAATATAAATAAATAAATATATTTTTATGAATTGGTTTGTTATGTTTCACGTTGCTTACGTAATGGCGCGTTACGTACATGATTTCCAGAACGAGGTTCCCGTCTTTTTTAAAGGAAACATCGTTTTTATTTAGCTATCGTGATGTCGACTTTAATCACTGATACTGAATAGTTTACTGTTAGGAAGGTTCCTGTCACACATTTATGAAGTGTCCACAAGCACGCAGCGAAGGCCTGGATTTGATACCGCACATGACATCACAAATTGTACCGACGTCTCGACACGTGGCACATTTTGAGGCGAGATTCCAGGTTGACACATGAATAATTGAGTCTTTTCTCAGATGCGAATGTGCTTCATGTGTGGACTGCTACGGCCAGGAACGTGGACACATCAATGATCCTAACATGTTAATGATCCGAGCAAAGATGGTCACCGCATCGCGCACTTCAGATGCGCTTCTGCGGCCGTCTGGAACGTTCTTCCTTCCTATTTTAGGAAGCCACTGGACCTAGGCACTTTTAAATCTAGATTGAAAACTCAGTTATTTAGAACTGATTTTTGTGTTTAGTTTGTTGTCCTTCACCTCCGATAACCACAGTTGGCTGCGAAAGATGTTCAACAAGAAATCCTTCAAATGGGAGAAAAAAAATGTTTACGCACCCTTCACCTTCGCAAAACAAATAGCTGCACAACAATGGGGAAAAGCAGTGAGAGTGAAAACACACGAAAGGGCATTCGTTGGTCAGGCGGCACTGCCGAGACTCACCTGCTGCGAGAGGCAGAAGGCAGCAATTCCAAGAGGCCAGAAGCAGCAGAGCATGGAGAACACGCTGAGGCCCAGGTGGTCTCGAGGTGGTAACGACAAAAAGGTGTCCTCGCTCTCCGTATCGCTTGAGTAATCGCTCTGGGCAGAGAAAACGGAGCAAACGGCGAGGCCAGTCACCTTACGAATGAAGCGTTTTCCCTGCACGATGCTATTTGATCCAGGAGCATAAACAGGTGGAGTAAACTCCACTTTGTGCGTTGCAAAGGGGAGTTATGCACTGCCGTGCCGGACAAGACACGCGGCACAACATGAATACGCGTCGGAGAGCCATGCAGCACAACCAGGAAAACGTGCGTAGCAGACCGTGGTTTCTTTTATATTTTAACCTCGCAGCTAATCGCTCGGGTAGAATTTAAAAATAGCATTAAGTAACTGCGTGATATGGCAGACTGTGCACTTGGCTGGATTGGGTTTTTAGCACGGGCAACATTTTAAATGGTGGTTGATACATCGGCTGCCATGGGAATTTTTTTTTACTTTTCTTGCCGATTGCATAGCAATAATTACACGTTTTAGCCTGTCATTACCTCCCAGATGTATTATCGTAAAGCTCATTAACATATTGTTCCATGATATTTAAATGCACAAATTACAATGTACTTTGAAACTCAAATTTGAATTGCCTTTGTTTGCAGTGGAAGACATGGAACCAAGACTTCAGTTCAGCCTGGTTTGTCTGGTTTGGTCATTAAAAATATATATTTTTTACACCCAGCACACCACATCCAGTATCCCTCTCGCTATTGCTGTGGCTACTAATTGCATGCCTCCTGCAGTCCACCAACGATATGGAAATATTCAGCGAGAAATTAAGCGCTGTGTAAAACCCATTGGTTTGAGACGCTGTACAATTGAAAGTGACTCTTTAAAGCTCTGCACAAAATTATATTTTTAAAAATGGCTAAATGCTTATTTATCTTGTGACAATGTGAATAGCAAATGAGTTGGACACCATTCACGATGCTGCAACAAATCTTCAGATATTTCACACCCCTTACAAAAATGTTGCATTCCGTAGTAAATTTCCTGCATGAGCAGCATTGAAAGTGGGCTTATACAGCAGCGCATGTAATTAAGCATTTTACCCAATTTTTGGGGATTTAGTCATCATTTCATTATTGTCAACAATGTCTTAAAAATGCCAGAACCCGAGCCTCAAGGTCACTCTGTTCAGTAAGGCACAAGGGACTTAAAGGGCGAGGGACTGAGTGCACCTGCGATAAACAAGATAAAGATGAAGGCGCAGCCCTGCAATTGCCTGCTCGCTGCTCGTGCCACAGCTGGCAAAACGCCCTGCGCTAGAGGTAGCTCAAGAGAGGCCCTGTGGATGGTTATTTGGTCTACTCCTCCACGCTGGCCAGTGTTCAAAGACGTGGGGGTGCATCCACACTTCTATTTAGTGACCACTTTGTGCAGACATTCACGGCTTCATTCCTTGTCCATCTTTGTGTGCAAAATGCCAGATATGCTGAGCCTCAAGGTCACTCTGTTTAGCAAACCACAGGGGGAAATATGGGTATTGGGACCAAGTGCACAGGGATATTTTGCTTTAAATAGATTTCAGGAGTAAAAAGGTGTGACTTCAGCAGAAATATACCGAGCTAAGTCCCGCTAAATAATATTGTTATCCAATTATACTCCCAATTAGTATCCCTTGGATGTATGCTGGGATTAATCACATGCAGCCACTCGAAAATGTATATTGCGCGATTGATTTTGAAACATTACAGAGAATGAAAGATTGTGTTTTGTGAAATAGTACAAATTGTGCTTCATGTGTTTTAAAATCTATTTCATCACATTTTCTAAGCATGTTACATAGTCCAATGAGCAAGCTTTATAAAAGGGATGGTGTGATGGCCATTAGTGAATTGTTGCTTTGATCCTTCCTCAGTGAAAAATTATAACGGTTGCCATTCATATTAGCACAGAAATAGCTGCAGAAGTTACAAAAAAAGGACATAATAAATGTATCATTTCATCATTGTCATGTTAATGTGGGTCACCAATTTGTTCTCTTGGAGCTACATCCATGTAGGAGACAAAAAGACGTTTTACCTCTGGTTTGAAGCAATATCAAGATGCTCATGGAAAAAAAAAATCTTCGCTTTTCATTAATTGGCATTTTCATTTGTAGAATCTATGAGCATCGGGGTTGATACCGGTGCGGTGTAAATCAGATATTAACACGCTTCTCGTAGCAATATCAAATAAATATATTGTTCTGTAACGTAATATCCCATGTCCTCATGAGTGCAGCATCAAAATGCAATGCTTGTTACATGAAAAAAAAGTATTTTAGTGCGTGTAACATCCTCCGCAGTGTCATGCTAATTTGTGTTTTTACGCACGACATCTAATGACACTTGAAGAGCCTACCATGCCCTTCCGCTCACACACGAACAAAGCCGTGGGTATGTCGCCTATTTTTTTTACTCTTAAGCAGTTTTACTCATGAATGTGTTGCCATATTTTTGGTTTGCTATTTGTGCTTATTCCCCACTGCCAACAGGGTGTCACTAAATAATCTGGGTACAATTGTTCGAAACAAACAAGCCAAACTAAAATTCCATCCCCTTTTGCCCACGTGCAATCACGACCCCAGCCACACACCTGCAGATCTTGGTAGTCGCCCTCCTCGTCCACCTCGTAGGACACGGTATGGATGTGCCGCGGCTCTCCGGCCGCACCGATGGCTCCCCTCGTGGGGGAGTCCATCCTGCTGCCGCTGCCGCCACCGCCGCCGCAGCTGCTGTCGCTGTCACTCGCGCTCCCGCTCAGGCTGTCCCTGCCGCCGGCCACCGCCACCGCCGCCGCCGCCTCGGTGAAGGTGGTCTCGCAGTGCAGGCTCTCCGTCGGGGGCTCCCCGTGCTGCGAGCAGCCGCCGTCCTCGTTCGCGTCGACGACGGCGGCGGGGGCGGCACCGCTGGGCGACAGGCGGGCCACGTGCGATGAGTCCGAGCTGAGGTGTCGTCGCCGCTTCTCACCGCCGCTGCTGCCGTGCTGCTGCAGCTGCTGCTGCTGCTGCGTCAGGAGTGCACCGGGGTCCAGCAGCTGCTGGTACACGCAGGTGGAGTTGTCGTCGGTGCCGCAAGAGTTCAGGTAGATTGAGATGAGTCCGTTCGTATGTCGGGGCCGCTCGTTGTACGCGAAGCCGTTTTTCTTGTAGAAGTCGAACCCGTTGACCGGAAGAAGTGGGTTCTGCAGCTCAGCCAGGCTCTCCATTGTTGGTAAAAGGTTTTTCTCTCCTATTTTGTTAAACGTGTCGTCGAGTCGCGTTGTGCTTTAACGGCTGAATCTGCGCAAAGTTCTTACATCAATCTTGTCGCAGCAGCTGCTGTTCTTCTTCAAGAAAGAAAATATTGGAAAAGCGACAAAGCTGCAGTGTTAGAGGTAGCATCAGCGCAAAAAGCTTTGTTGTGCAGCTGATATGTATGAGCAGATATGCCTATCTCAGACAAACAGATTACCACAACTGAAAATAGTGACTGATATGATGTTCTGAAAATGCTATAAAGCTGAAATTCAGTCAAAAAATATACTCGCGTTTATGCATATAACTAGGATAATTCAAAAACATTTTTTTTATTTTGGTCCCCAATATTATGACCTGTGCCTAATTGGTTTCTATAATGTGACTGGGTCAGCCTCAAGTGCTACATTGCTTTAAGTCTCATGTAAGCCACTTAACATGTATGATCCGGATCAGTGAACCAAGTAATTTGCCTCCTGTGGAGTGTGACACTAAATCCAACAAGCGGGCAAAGTCTGGTTCCTAGTAATATCATACCACAGCATCTATGGGGACCTTTGTGTTTTAGAACCAAAATTAATTGCACATTAAACATCAACAAAATATATCAAAGAAATACTATTATCATTTTGAGAACACATGAACACTTGTACTACTATTAAGCACAAATTACATGATTTGCAGCTGTCTATATGCCTGATAATTCCATTCTCAATTATTGTGCTTAAATACTTTTCACACCAGGATTACACTAGAGTAGTCGCTGCTGGACTATGTCTAATAAAGTGTATTGGCAAAGATCAACCATCCAGAAACGTTCCAGCCTGCATACTAAACTATTTCACAATCACTATGCAATTACTGCACATCTCCTTAAAGCATACTCCTTGGGCATTTATTAATAATATTACAAGTCGGTGCACTTGGTCGATCGGCATGTTGTGTGTGATGGAGGAAAGCGTGGGCACTCCCACTTAAACACATCTGGCGAGCGTGAGAGAGTAGGCGAAATTATCCACTTAGAGGGGCTTGCGGGTGGGAGACCTTTCCACCAGCAGTGTCATGAGTAAGGCTTTTCAAGGATGTACCTTTACCATTGACCAGAAGCCGGTTCTCCGTACTTTCTACTGGCATTAGTGTCACACTCCACACGAGGTCAATTACTAGGTTCACTGATATTCGGGCTCACATATTTTTTAATCATTGACTGCTTTATATGTATTTACCGTGAGATTTAAAGATATTGAGAACTTCACGTAAGACCCTACGCTAGGAGTAAAATCTATGAATCGCCAGGCAATCATTATTTAGAGTCCAAATTTTAAGATTGAGATTTTATTTTTCTAGTTATGACCATAAATAAACAGATATTATTTACAGACCTTTGTCAGCCACTGCTGATTAGAAATTGTTTAACCATACTTCATCACTCTGGTCGGTGAAGATTGGTACTGGGTGCGGGAGCAGCACTGATCCAGATGTCGCTCCCCACTGATGTTAGCCATGGCTGAGAATTTAACTCCAATTGCTCAGTTCATAGCGCGGTGTGTTTAGCCGCTGTGCCATCAATGTCCTCTCTTAGGCATAGATTCGATTCACTCGACTATATTTGATGCCCAATTTCAGCTCTCCAACTCCTCCAGAACATTGTTATCATTTACATCATTTACATCAGTCACCTAATCACGACCATCCATATGTATAAGTTACCATCAGCGAAAAATACAACTGCAGCGATGTGCTCTGATGCATATACCTGCCTGCCAGGCTCATGCACAGAGCGTACATTTCGGTAAAACGCACCGACAGAATCCACTGAACCTGCAGTGGTCGGAGGATTTTTAGCATAATTTATTTCTTTGTCAAGTCAATGGAGATATGAATTCAGCATTTCTACAAATATAAATATCTACCGGCACATACACTTGTAAACTGGGAAAGAAACTGATTTTTTTTAATATATAATGCCCTCTATTATCATCGAATACATGCTTTTGAACATGACAAACAGCAGGGGATAAAAATAAAGGGACCTTTTGCCACCAGTAGCTACCAGATATAAAAAGAATCCTTCAAAACAGCAGCAATACAATGCATTCCATCCCACGGGCTCACATATGTACGCAATGGATTCGGTAAATTACGTAAGGTCCATAGACCCTTCATCTCTGTATATCGTATCGAAATGTGCACGGCTTGATACCTGCTTTGCACGCTTTGGCACAGCGTAGGAAATTAGATGATCCAACAATATTCATTGAAATTGGTGGCGGGAGATTTGCCTCTTTGCAAAGTTTGGCTCCGTTACTGCTATGGTATCCGCCTCGTGGCTGCCAACAGTACCAAGGGATCTTAATTAATGTGAGGTAGCCGTTAGCCATTTTCAATTTATAACATTTGGGGCTGCTCCGTGTGTATACAGTAAAACATCAATTACCTGCGCACAGGTTAACTCACGTAATTGGATTTTGCGAATGTAAAATTCCCATTAAGTTCCCCTTCACCGACGCCCCCCCCACCCATATGCACCTCCTCTTCTCCTAGAGTGAGTTTTGATTTGCGATTACTGGCTCGTAATTAAATATACATCAGTGGCGTGCAGCCGTGGCAGCCGTTAATGCGAAAGGTTATAATTGCAACATCTAATAGGCGAGCGGGTGATGCTTGATAGTGTTTTTTGCACGTACATTTACACGTGTACGTGTCTTCGTATCTTGTTAAAGGGAATTTATGTATACCACCCGCCTCCCAAACGATGGTAACAAAAAACAACACGTTCTGCATAAGAAGTCAAGAAGGGCAAAAACAAGTGCAGAGTTTGCCCGCTTAAAGTAATTCTGCTGGTCGACGTGAGTCTGGAAAGTCAATGGGATGAAAGACGAAAACTATTTTTTAAACGGACAATTGATTTGTTATAATTTAATACAGCTTTCTTTTTCACATGACTGATTATTTTTAATAGCAAATCACAAGCTCCATTGTAGATCATATGCATCACCACCACATTTCGTGGCTTTCAACGCGTTTGCCAGTTCTTTCCCCTTGTGGGCACAAACACAAACCAGGTTTTATTCCCCGTTGAAAATGTTGTTTACGACTCAACAGAGGCCGAAGTTGGCCGTGGAAAATCCAATTTGATTTACTGAGTGGGCGTTCACTCACCCGCTCACAGAGTGTGAGTCCGCTGTCTTTTGGTGGGAAGGTTGGTATGGGCCCTCTACACTTACAATATCTGCCTCCAGACATCAAAACATTTTGCAGCAGTGACTGAAGTCACGGGCCACTTTGTTCCTGCGTACTATGAAAAAGAGGACGCCATATTCTCGGTTCAATCATGAATACGCACCAAAATCACCCGATGTTAATACACTCGGAATTGTACTACTATTATATCTCACCCGATGACTAATAATGCATACAGTACGTATGGCGTGCACCAGCGGGTAAATACAGCCAGTTAACGAACCTCGGCATGGACACCGAGAAACTACTTGGCTGCTGGACAGCGGGTGCTCTTCCACTGCCCAGCAGTTGCTCCGGATTTGAAGGTTGGCCCCTAGACACACAGGGCACGCTCGGACACTCGCTTGTCCCTGGCAAGGCTGCCACCGTGTAAATGATGAAGCCGCATTCGTCGCGTTCTCAGGGCAGGCAAAGCGGCCAGCTTTTTCTGTGGCCGTGTAAAACGCGGCACTGATGAATGAGCGGACCGAGGAGGCTGTGCGTATGGGGCCGCGTTTCCCAAGACCACCCCACACCGTGCGATTACCCCACAGTAGTACAACCTAGCGGTGTCTAAAATTTAAACTGTAAAGATTTTATTATTTTACCAGGTAAGGCCCACTGACGTATATAACTCGTTTTCAGAAGCGACCTGACCGCAAATGATAGCTCAACGAAGTGGCTTATCACGTGGAAATGTAGAGCAGCAGACAAATACTCGCCGTGGGTGTTTCTAAATGTGGAGGGAAAAACCGGAGGACCCGGAGAAAAATTAATGCGATCATGGGGAGAGAGACCTGAAAACTGGAAATATACAGGAGGCATCAGGGTCTGGATCGAACCTACACCCTCCTGTATACCAGGAGAGGTAGTTAGCATTTCGCCACAAAGGTGCGCATTCGAGTACATTACCACACTGAGTCTCAGTACTGTAGTTCAGGCGTCAGGGTCGGGATCAAACCACGATCTCCTGTGTACCAGGTGAGGCAGTTAACTCATGCCACGGCGGCGCCCCTCTCGCCACCACGGCGCCCCTGTCATCTCTCATGAGCAGGTCACTCGGCGTGTAGCCCTTCTCTTCACCCGTGCATAACATCATCAGTGTTAATCAGCTCGCTGCTGCTGCAGACTGGGTGCCGGGGAGAGGTTAACATTGACGGAGACACCGCGGGTCACCTCCCCCCTCCTCCCGTGGCAATGACTTTTCCCAAAGATGTAAGGCTCCATGCATGTCTTTCTGAGATGGGGGATTCCCTATTTTAAGCCTCGCCTGGGCAGGCGAGAGGAGATGCACATTCTTGCTGCGTATCGCATTAGATACCAAGCAAACATGGATTTTATTAAATGAGTACATGTTTTAGATTACACCATCTGCCTCCAGACATCAAAAACATTCACAGCACTGAGTGAAGTCAACAGACCACTTTGAGCCTGCGTAATGCCAAGCTTAAACCAATAAAGTCTCGGTTTAAATATGTAAATATTTAAAAAAATCGCTCAATGTTAATACGTAACTCAAAATAATAATTCTGTATTATATAATTTCGTGTCGAGCTGGGAACCATTGCATAAAGAGGGAGTTCTTGCCTTTAAAATCTAACAGTTCACCAGCATTGATTAAAGCAAGCACGCTCGACTCCACCAGTGGAGACCCCGTATGTCGAAACCGATTCAGGGTTTGCTTGAACTGAATGTTGCTGAAATGATGCACTCCCGGAAGACTGTGACTGATGGATAGCGCAAAAAAAAAAACTTACATTTTATCACGTGCAGACACAGATACATAAAGGTGACATTGCTTATGTAATTTTGTCAAAATTATCCTGTGCTCTGAAGGTATATGGTACTAAGATTCCTGCCAGGTGCCGATAATGCGTATACACAAGTACTCGGTGCTTTGTTTCAGACCGAACTATCTGGGGCTGAGCTACAAAAAATATTCCCCCGGTTGAGGTCCCCGGGGGCACTGAAGGGTCGGCCCGGCAAAAAAATCATTACAAATTATGGTCTTAAAATAATCACTATCCCGTGTGCGCTGGTGACGTGTGCACATTTTCCAGACAATAGCGAAACAGAGCCCCAGCTCGCTGCTCGTTAATGACCCGGCTTAGGATAAAGCACATGACACATGGCATGACATTACAGCTTTCTTACTTACGTACCAACGTGGTGAAGTCTCGTCAATCTCTGCCCTCCCACCCCACCCCCATGACTGACACGACATGGGGAATCCTTCATCCAGCAGTGGACTGACAAAGGAGTCCACACGACATGTCGGTCACGGGAGGTTGCAAGTAACATCGGCAGTAGCCGCTGAACGTGAGACCGTGAAAAGCGGAGGCTCTTCTCCCATCAGGGTCACAAGAGCCACGGTAAAATCCGCAAGCGATGCCTGAAACCTTCTACAGCGCACAGATGTCGGCTGCTGCGAAGCAAAACCCCCAGGAAGTCGAGGCCACCTCGACCAGGGAGGCCCGGAACACGAGCTGCGTCTGCGATGAAAAGCAGACGATGCCTCCTCACTCATCTTGCTCCGGCGCCGTTTGCTCGAGGAGCACAGCTGATGATTCAAGCATCGATACTGGCCATGCGCGGGGCGGGCGGGGGGGGGGTGCCCCCCACAAATGGTCATCATTGATCTGACTAAAGTTGGTGTGATGGACACTAACACTAAATGACGACGACGATGATGCTGATGATGACCCTTCTTAAGATATGGATCCGAGGTTCGACGTGATTTATAATCTGCACAAAGGCGCTAAAGGCGACTGCAGACGCACGGCTATAACACTCGCTGCGCGAATGCCTCGTCGCGAATATACATGCATAATGCACACAGAATACACGTGTCAATCCATACACGGCTCTCAACAATCGCCCGGAGTGTCGCTTGCCCCATTGTGTGCACGGGCGGTGCAGCGGACAATCTCACCCAGGTTTGATCACCAACGACGCGCATCAAACAGCCCCTATGAATCCACTCAAGCTTTGAGTTACGATTCAATGGGTCGCCTCGTTTACAGCGGGCATTATCGTCATCATCATCATCACCCCAGCCAGGCAGCAGCCGCGTTCAATGTGCATCAAAGCCAAAGATGTCCCGTAAAGCCTTAACGGACTGTTGGGGCAAGTGCTTGTTGGCGAGCACCTAATGAAGGGCAGTACGGCGCACACACGTTTCTCCAGATTGCAGGGAAACGTTACAGGGCTATAGATAGAAAACTTGACACGTGTGTGTCAATAACACCGCCCTAAAATAAAACCTAATACAGGATAAGCGACGTTTCGGACAACGACCCTCGTTCATAATGCAATGCACTTATTGCGGTTCGGGCAAACGTCATTTAAATTGGCCAGATTATCATATTATTATTAAATCCGTTGTGCAATTAAGAGGGTGTTGCTTTCTTCATTTAACTGCGACATTTTCCGTGAAAATTTCAGGAATGCCATAAATAGCCCTGCCGCGAGAGTTTGATGCATCATTCGCAACGTTCGGTAGGCAACATACCCACGGCGCTGTATCCAATGCCGACCGCGGCTTTCATCATCTGCTACCAGTCGCACTCAGAAACTCCCCAGCGCCCCGACTCGTTACAAATGTCGCTTCTTTGTCCACCGAAGCAAGCGACGACCCATTGTTAACGTGATGCAGACAATCAAAAAGAACATCCCCTTAATAATGGAGGTTTTTGGGTTGGATCGCGTAAATAAAAAAATAAAAAAACGCGATCTAACCTAAAAACCTCAATTATGGATGATATTGGTCGCGAAAGTCTACGTGTTAAACAAACTCCCCCTTATAGCCTCAAACAGACTTTTGGGGCAAGTGCTGTTAGCGAGCACCTAATGAATGTCTTTTGTCTCCCAAGTGACGATGTTTACACATCGCACCGCGTACTCATTTGAGCTTGAGCCGACCTCGGAGAGGCCCAGAACCGGTTCAGACAATCGTCGCTGATGTTGACCCTGAGCGGAAATCGAACTCGGGCTTACCGGCTCCGTAGCGCGGCACAGCGCGCTAACCACTGCACTACCGCTCCCCGCACACGCTACACAATTCCTTGATAATCGATGTAAATAAACATATGTTCAGAACAAGCACCCTGTTGCGATCTTGCCCCACGTGCAAACGAGCCGGCTACCGACAGCGGGTCTCGCAGCTCACTCTGTGTGCCGCCTGGGCCTCTCTGCCTTTGCGAGAGCGAGTGCTCTTTATTCAACACGTTTGGCCGTTCGTTGCAAGGTGACATTAAAACCACGTCCTCCGAGGGCCGGCTTTCTTTCGGCCGCAAGACAATGTAAAGAACCGCATCGCTTACCGTAAAATCATACTTTTTCCACGGGCTCCGTCCGGGGGCGGAGGAGGAGGAGACGCATTATCGGGCGCCTCTCCGTAAATCCACACGCGTCCATCTGCGCGCCCGCCCGCCTGCCCGGGCTCCTGATGAATGCTGCCGCTAAGCGCACGAGGATTTGAGCGCTGGTAGCAGCCCGGGAGCCGACCCTGGGATGAGAGCTGCTGCTATAGCGCGAGCGCGCCTCTCTTCGCCGCCGCCGCTGCCGCGTGCTCCGCCCCGCGATCTTCCCCCCCGTCCCTTGCCAAGTTGTCAGGCGTCACACGTGGCACGAAGAGTCCGGAGGCGAATGGGAGGCGGGGGAGATGGGGGGGGGTAAAGACTGACGAGAAAGGCTCACCTCGAAAGGCAGTGCTTTCCTCTTGGCAAATCTATTAACACCCGCCTCTCAATCACCCCGCGGACCGTCGACTCTTCCTCGCCTGTTCCCTTTCCTCCTGTCACGGAAGATTTTAATGCGTTGTCCAGTGTCCACCTCGCCCGGGGTTGCGAGTGGCTGTTTTGCGTGTGTGTTGCGTAAAGGAAGCATGTCAACAGACTCAATACTTAGATCAAGCCCATCCCTCCCCCACCCCGCTCCCTCCCCCCCTTTTTTTTAAAGATGAACTGGTCTCGTGTTGCTGTTATCGTGTTAGTATTTAACTTGTCATAGTATCGTTATTGTTACTGTGTGATCTATGTCATCGATATCATGGCGTTGTCGTATTGGTGTGCTGATGAATGTGTATTCAAGGTTGGTGTAAATAGCCGGTGACACGCACGCAGGTCGAGGAGTAACTGCTGCTCGAGTTGCTTCAAATGCAGAGCAACACATTAATCCACAGTTGGGCGCAGCTATCGGCTGTGGATTATCATAACGCCCCCGCGTGCACGTGAATCCAAGGCAGGCGTTGTTTGTCGTTTGAAGTGGACCCACCAAAAACAGCGCCTTCTAATTGTATTTGTGATGCATTCAGTATGCAAGAGCAGAACGCGCCTTCTGGCAGGCCTCCGCATTCACATTATGTAGATTTTATTGCAATGTTCCGAACAACGCATTGACTTTTATGAGGTAGCAGCAATAAGTGGCATCAATGTTTATCCACCGTGCTAACTGCAATGTATCAACACGTGTTTATGCTGTCTCTCTCGGGTAGACTAACATTGTCGTGTCCTATGTAATTGCACCGCGGGCTTAATCTTTGCATGTGCAAATAAAACGAGGGAGAGTCTTGCATCTCAAATTCACAATGTATTTATATTTGAAAGTGTCTATCCCTCCAGTCGTTTAAAACGTATTTCTCTGCCCGGTACTGAAACGGACAGCGCCACCCGCATAACACAGGGAGTGCTGTGCTGCACATGATTCGTATAGCCAAGACGTGGACTGCTACACGTTACAGCTATAACGTATGTATTTATCGGACTGGCTAGTGAGGTTTGTCGGTTCATGTAATGAGGGCATATGTTTCACATTGTGCTGGCAGTCTCGGCCTAAATTACGTAAGCTTGCTATATAATACAAGCACCCTAAATGTACATTTTAACATTACATATTTGAAGTTTGACCCACTCTTTTAGAGTGTGCAAGTGTGTGTGTGTAATAGTTATCTATGTAATCTGCTTCCAATTAATAGGTGTGTAATGCATTTCTGAAAGCGATTATCACGTATTTAATTAGGGACTTTATCTGCGCGTGTTAACCAGTGTTGGTTTAAACCGTAAAGACGATGTCAAACACCACCTCCCTGAATGAATGAGCATCCTGTGGTAGTGCATTGTTTCAATTACAAACCTAACACGATGTCACGTATTTTTACAAGAACAAGCTAGCAACGTATAGCCTACGTGCTCAATCTCAGCTTTGCATACGCTTCACACACGTGGTGGGAGTCTTGCTTAATACTACACATGGGGATGTATGTGAAGTGGAGGCTGTATAGTCGACATGCTATTTATACGCATGTACAACTACTTATTGACCTTCCCCTTACATTTCAGTGCGTGTGGGTGTGTGGTAACATGCCCGCTGGGGGACACTGATTGTTTTTCGCTCTCCTAATTAAAAAAAACGTGACACTAATTACATATTCTTTGGGTCTTTCGGTAAAGTCACGTAGATAGAACAATACAAAAAATATATATTCACGTTTTTTTCATTTTTATTTATTTTTATTATTTTATTGTTCTATCTACGTGACTTTACCGAAAGACCCAAATATTATGAATTCCTGCAGTCACGAAAGCTTTAAGTCAAGAATTACATTAATACGTAGTCCGTGATCTCCGTCTTAAGCTGGTTAAACCATGCTGTATTTGTCTTTATGCAACGTAATGAATGGACGAGGAGATTGGAACGACAGACAAATGGCTACGGGGACATTTTTAACTGTGAGTAGATGCTGCCATTAGTCTGCAGGTATTAAAAGCATGACAATGAATAAAATACAGGATGACTTGAAAACTCTCAAACTTTATACATTTCTAGACTTAACTATTGATTTTCATCACGCGGTCAATTTGTTCTGAAGGGTAGTTTATACCCTCCAAATATATACATACATTCATAATACTAATTAAGATATGTCCAGTAGAGTATGCACGACATATATCAGGCATATATGCACATACCATGTATATATATATATGCAGTCCTACCAATGCATATACAATATACAGACGAGTATATACAAAATACATTTGACATCTGTGTCTCTTATATGCTGTGCAGTAAAACCACGCAGAGATGAGGAATATTATGAGGGCTATTAAATATTGATTTGTATAAGGGCTATTGCCTTTTATGAAACACTTTCTCACTCGGCATCCTACACTCACACTCGCTCCTTCACTCGGACACTTCGTAACCATTCAGAGCCGACCCCGGCAATCCCTTTGGCTCTCTCACTCGTCTGCCCGGAGCGGGGGATCAGCCAACACCGCTCCGTGACGAGGAGAGAGAGACCCTCTTTCAGCCGTTTCCTTACTCTGGCCCCCAACGACGCCCTCGCCCCCGTCACGGGGTCCCCCTTAAGAACCTCTTTGGGCGGCTCTTCCCCCCAGCTCGCCACCGCCCGCCTTCTTTCTCGCAAGTTCCATCCGAAAGCCCCTTACGTAACCCGTAACGTTACGTCATCCTTGACCCCACATGACTCTCAACCCGTTGGTACCTCCTTCCGCTCGCCCCCTCATGGGATACCCACAATAATCCTCTACACATGTGTATATATATAATTGCATATGTGCACACATACTCAAATGAGTGCACACACAGATGCACACGCGCACAGCAAATGTGCCAGAGTGACTGGTCTTTTGTCTCATTGCATTTGTCAGTTCGGATTGTCGCACATTCCTCTGAAAGTCACGGAACGTCGCTGGAAATTCCAGTCCTTGTGCTCAGCACGAGTGTGTGGCTCTCACACTTCAAAGCATTTTGACTTGGCATTTTGAACATCGTTTTTTAAAATACATTTGAAGGCTATACTCTAGCATGAACTGTTCTTTTAAAAGTAGGAAACCTACAATCAAGCAAACTTACAGATATCTGCTCTATCGCATGCCCATTGGCAAGACAAGAGAATTATATGGTGGGTACCAATGGGGGTACGCTGAGTGCTGAGAAAGGTGATGGCACATCCACTTTTTAAAATTGTGTAAACTGTAATTAAATATCTTTAAATGAGGCGGCTTGGGAGGCTTCACTTTATCTAATTCTCATTGAAGCAGCATCCTCTCACCTCCCAAGTGCCCCAGTTTCAGCTCCATTATTCACATTCCTGCCCATACACAGGCCTGCAAAAGCACTGTGACCCATCCAGATCCAGTTTTGTGACGGCCACCCCCAGAGAAATGCTCTACTTTTCATTGTTGTTCGTATACAATTTTATTTTTGAAGAAAACTTATATACCTTTCACTATATATACTGTATAGTATTCAATATGTGGACTGCGCACGCCATTAACGCCATACACAGCTGTCTTCAATAGAGGGTCTGGGAAGCGTCAATTCATTTGGGTGCATCACCACATTTGGTCCACCACCACTATCACCCCTATCACCACCGCTACCGCCACCTCCATCACCGTAACCACTCTCCACCCAACCTCACCCAATGCTTACATTCCTGGAATAGTGATTGAGAAAGTAAAATAAACCTCCTTTTGAATGACTCCACTGGAGCACGACCGGCCATAATAATACAGTGAGGTTTTGCTCAGCTGTATTCTAATGGGGCTTCTTAAACATCAAAACGTGACATGCAAAAAAAATATTTCTGAGATTGACGGTATACATTTCTGCCAGCTGCTAGAGTTAATAGGTGTTGCGGTTGCTTCAGGTTATGACTCGCATCAAGAAGCAGAGGGGTCAGTATGGGTTAAAAAATCGAGTAAATCCCTGTAGGATACTGCTCCTCTCCCGTCTGGGGTGGTCTGGCTGCCTACGATAACAAAGCTTCAAATAATTTCTTTCTGATATGGAGTTTACATTATATAACACGGTGAACTCTGAATGCTCTGCATTTTGCTTTACATCATCAACCACTCACAACCAAAATCGTGTTGTGTTTGGTGTAACTGTACCGAAGTGTTTACCACGTTCGGTGAGCAGACAATTGCGTATTGTCTGTCTTTGCATTTAAAGGTCATACGAATATTTGTTTGATTTTCTTTGCTATTTTTTCATATCATGGAAAACGCAGTTCTGCGGTTGAAGGGTAATCCGACATTTAACATGGTTTTACCTTCAGAACCATTTTGTCAAAGCCGTGGTCAAACAAGTGACAATTTGTGATTAATATATCATTCAAATGAGTAAAAGCGCAACGAACATTGAGGTGGATCAACTTACTTAATATTTAACTTATTTTTATGCACAACAATGCATACAAACTAAAACTTTCGTGAGATAATTAAATGCGTTTTGACAGCAAATATATCCCTGTATGGACAAGCGGAGTTACCTCAAGTTTCCCTGGGTTCACAAGACATCCACACATCCGCAGGCATCTAATCGAAGCTTCTGGTTGGAGAGCTGCATTGCCACACTTGTCAATATCCTGTTTATCTTGGGTGGCATCGATCTGTTGCTGTTCTTTTGAGCTCCCCTCATAGTCTTCCACCCAAGTGGCCCAGCAGGAATGCAATTAACTTGACTTATTGAGGCTGCGCCAATGATAATTGTCATTTAAATCTATGACGAGGGAAAGCAAACACAGAGCACGCATGCCGATAGTTGGCAAAGTGTCGATGCTGTTTGAGGGAGATAGCACTTGCTGCCTGCTCTGTTTTATTTAGTTCTCGCCAGGTGTGAACATTAAAGGTAACCGATCCTTAAATTTCGATTTAAAGCTTTCGTGACTGCAGGGATTCATCTTCTTGGTTCTTTCGGTAAAGTCACGTAGAATGGAAATAATAAAATAATAAAAATAAAACATAATAAAATAATTCTCACGACGTTTCGACCACAACGCACAGAGTCTGACTCTGTCTTCTCGACAGACCTGT